CAATTCGCTGCATTGGTACCCCGATTTTGACTGTCTGCTTAGTGTGTGATTACAAGGATTGACCACAATTAATAAAACTAACGGGTTTCCTATAATTGGACACTGAGGTTGTTTCTAATTTTTGAACATTACAAACCGGGCTGTGATGAACATCCAAGACACTAAATCTAGGCAGGTGCTGGCCACTGAGGTCAGGAGGAATATTTTTGAAACCTCTAAGCATAAAGTGCCTGCCAGTTGGTGTAACTGGAAGCTTTTTGGCTAAGGCCCAAAAGGTGGCGAACACCAAGCGCTCTGATCCAACCTTTTGGCTTGCTGGGGTCAGCATTCATTCCCCAGCGCTTGTCACAGAGTGCTCAGGCTGGCAGGCCCTTGGGGACCACTGGGCCAGCAGCCTCATCTCACATGAGAGGACTGAGGCCTGGGATGGTTCTTTGGCGGCACAGTGCTGGGCAGAAACCCTCCCAGTCTCCAGCACCTGGGCTCCCAAACCAGAAGCTGAGCTGTGCCATTTGGAATCTGCCCTGCAAACTCCCCGGGGCCTGCTCCCCACACCACACAGCTTTCTGCTGAGGCCAGAGAGGGGCTTTAGACACTCTTGCAAATCAACTGAGCAGTGAGGAGGGTGTGGGGAGGCATTGAAAGGTGACTTGGGGTTCACTCTGCAAGAGATTGGACCTGCTCCCCCCAGAACCCCTCTTTATCCGAAGCCACGTGGCAGGCTTCATGGCAGTGACCCTGTATCAGGTCCACCTGGCAAATCTACTTGGGATTTGAGCTGAAATACCGGGTGAGTGCTTCACTCTCCTTAGAGCTGGCAGCCTTCTTTTCTCACTGGGACCCAACTTTGCTAAAAGGCCCAAGTATTCAGCCCCCTGTCCCCAGCCAAGCCTTGGTGCCTTTGGGTACTAATGAGCACCCCTCCTTCCCACCTTGGGCCTTGATGCTGCCTGGGGAAATAACACAAATGGTGTGAAATTCGCCCCTTCTTTGTTTTCCTTTCTGCCTTGGAACTAAGCAGACCCCTCACCTTCACCTGGACCCTGTTTATTGAACTGGGAGAGATTTCACACCCAAGAACCGTAGCTCTCTCTCCACGAGCCCCCTCCCCTAAATTTTCACAACCGGCCCACATTCCCCCACCCCCTGCTCCGCCTGAATAACTGATGAGTCAAGGCGGGCCTTATAAAAGGGTCTCTGGGGGAAAAGGCAAACGAGAGCAGAAGGTTCCGAGAACTGGAAAAGTCACAGTCGCCTGGCTTGGTGTCCCAAGGATGGATCCTGCTGCTCCTGCTGTTGCTCCCCCTGGCCTGGCCCCGGCCCAAGCCCCCGTCCAGGCACAAATCGGTGGACGAGAAGTTTCTGGGAATGAAAGGTAAGTGGAGCTTGGCTTTTGACAGCCTGAACTCAGGCTTAGGGCGATAAAGCTGGGAGAAGGTAGGACGGCCCCAATGGTGTTGGCTCTGTTCTCTTTGAAGGGGGAGACACCAAAGAGCCTCAAACCTTCCTCTATACCTTCAGCTGGACTCACTCGTCACTCCAGGTGACAGGAGTGGGCTGAGAGACAGTGGACATTGCCAAAGCAGAAAGCCAAGTAGCCTGACCCTCATGGGATAGTCTACAATTCCCTGAGGGAACAGGAGAAGTTGCCGTGGAAATTGGGCTTAGTGCAGCCTGGACTTTGGGGCCTAGATGGTGGCAGGTGATATAAGGTGAAAGGGACAAAGTCTAAAGAGGCCTTTGGTTGGGGTGCTGCCTCATGTCCTTTGCATGCCACAAGTTTCGTATTTACTTTTCCTTGCCTCTAGAAGTCTAGAGGAGAAGCAATGGGCCCAGAACTATTCTGGGTCTTTTCTCCAGCTAGGAAAACAGCATAATTCTGTTCACTACTACTTGGTGCAGGAAGTAGGTAGCAAGATGCTCCCCATACAATGGGCGTTCTCTCCTCCACAAATTTCACATCCATATTCAAAACACTTTTAAGTCCCTCCTGTGTACGGGGCATCCTAGTAGGGATTGAGGTTTCAGACATGCCCATACGTATCTTTCAGCCTAAGGGGCGCATGCAGACAATAACAGAATTGTGGGATAGGAGTACTGATTTAGTAGTCAAGGGACAAAAGGTATTCTGGAGCAGATGGCTTGAGCTAAGCTTTCAGGAGGCCACTTCTGTGACCAGAGGAAGCCTACATTTAGGCCTCTTTCTCTACCAATTGATCTTTTCTGTTTGCTCTAGAGAAAGTCTTTGGAGACCCTGGCTGCCCTCCGCCAATGACCAACCAAGGCAGGTGAGGATGCCGGTGGACTCGGTGAGTTTGAAACCCTGTGACATATTTACACGGGCCCTTACAGCCATATCCCTTCTCAGACGTCACCTGCCTTCATTCCAAAGCTGCTCATCTGGGGCAGCATCATGCCCACACTGTTAACATTCTATTGCCACTGCAGCTCTGGGAGGAGGGCAGGGCCAAGGTTTCCACAACAAACGAGATTGGGAGAGCAAAGCTTCGAGTGGGTAAGGGACCTGGGCTGGACTCCTCACTGATGCTGGACTCCGGTCTCTCGATCCCTTGCCCCCCTGCTCTCCCATGCTGCTCCGTGAATGTTTTGTCCTCTAATGGAACTCTGTCCCCTGGACAGCCTCCAAACAGGCCCGGGAACAGGGGCAGGGAAGAAAACCAGCCCCACGACTCTGCTTACGTTTTACCAAGATCTAAGACTGACCCCTTGCTGCAGGGCCGGGCTGGGAGGTGACTGATCTCAAGAGATGCCTAGAGTCTTTTGCAGTTTGTCCGAACTGGCAGATCTCTGCCCCTCGATGGGGGAGAGGCACTTTAACCACATACTAGCTTTTGCTTTGGACAGGCTGCTGCTGGGGCAACAGCTGCGGAGGTCACCAAGGCCACGGCTGGGTTCCGTCACCCTGTCAGGTAAGCCTCTAGTGTTGGAGTTCAGAATGTGACAAACAGCCCCGAGCACTGTGCCTGCTCATGACAAAGCCATGACTCAGGAGGAAAGAGACCATGAGAGGAGGCCAAAGTGACTTGCCCCAGAGGACTTCCCGTCACTGAGACCTAAGGGTAAAATCCTGGGACCCTGAGCAATCACAGAATTCTTCCTTAATAGGAAAAGAAGGGCTGGAGTGGTGAGTGATGTCAGCACTAGAACTGAGAGACGCTGAGGTGGCTCACCCTCTGCCACAGTTCTAGGTCTGTCAGAGGTGACATTCCTTCCTGGAACCATTTTGTAACAGTTGCAAATATTCTGAGCCAGAGTTACTTCTTCCTTTCCCTCTAAGACCCTTCCTGAAGCTAGCAAGCAGCTCTAAGGGTCTTCTTCCTTCTTGCCCCTACTGGTCCCTCTACAACTGAGAGTTGCCTAAGTTAGGCGCCCTGTTTCTCCTTTGCCCGCAGGCTCTTCTGGCCGAGATCCCGCTCCTTTGACTACCTGTACAGTGCTGGAGAGATGCTACTACAGAATTTCCCCGTCCAGGCCACCATCAACTTGTATGAGGATTCTGACAGCGAGGAAGATGGGGAGGACAAGGAGGAGAATGTAGAGGAAGAGGTCAATGAAATAGGGCCAGAAGGGTGTGCGAGAGCACCAGAGGCCACACCACACAAGGCCACAGCTCATTCCGCTGACCCACCCCTGACCTGTCCAAACTGAAGCAATCCTAGTTACACTTGGCAGGTTTCCAAGGGCATCAATTAGCAAAGAGTCTCCAGACACAAATTTTCTGGACCAAAACCAGTGTCCTCGGGCTGTCTAGTACACCCTGGCTTTTCTGATGGGCTTGCAAGGCTAGGCCTCTGGCATGTTCTTGTCTGAGCTGCTCTTGTGCCAACAGTAGGAGGTTCCTAAGACCCGGAAGGGAATTAGGAAGACCTGACTGCTGAAGGCCTCAGGAAGTAGAGCAGGGCAAGGGATGCCCTTGGACAAGAAAGCAGTCACTCCTCCAGGGCCGTTTGATCCCCCAGTTTTCGAAGGTAGCAGCCATATAAACCAGTCTCCAGGGGAGCGAGGCTGGCCTCCAGCTTCTTCTCCAAAGATACCATTACCAGATCCAAGCAATACTGGAGCCCCTTGAGGGAAGGGAAGGGAACAGAAGAAGGCATCTTGAGAATCTGCTTGTCTGGGGACCTGCATCCTCGTTGCCTGCTATTCATTCAGTCTGGGTATTGGCATAAGATGAATCAGGAGAAAAATAAATGGAATGATGTTTGCCTTTTTCTTGGAATTGTGCTGATTTCTTAACTGAACTCTGCCCATGTTTTGAAGTCACAGGTGGAGGTCAGTTTGTTGCTCTACCTGAGGTCAGCCAAAAGATTTTTCTCCTTGGAGAATGTCATGTTGGGGACAGAGCCTCAAAATGCCAGGCCTCTCTGTTCACTTATGAAATCAGAGGATGAGGTGAGGGCTGGGGTAAAGGTGAGATGCATTTTCTCACTTAGTCATTGGGGGCCGCTGTCAAATGAGGAGGAACGCTTGGGCACCCACTAAATACTGTCAATTGTATCTCTTTGGTTCCCTCAGTAGCAACCATAGCTTGGGCCTTCATGTTTACTTCTGTCCCAATTACTCTTCAACAAATTTTCTTACTTCCAGCATTTTGTTTCACAATCTGTCTGCACACGGACCACCAACAGCTAGACTTATGGTTGGTTCTTTTTTGGGGGGACTGGAAGGGGTGACAGATTATCATGAGGCAGTACAACTTTTTAGGAAAACACATGCGGACATCCAACACTATACATTCATGAACCCAGTCTTTACTGTGGTATTCTGGATTCTTTAATCATCTGCTTTTGTGTGTGTGTTTGTTTGTTTGTGGCTTTTTTTTTAGAGACAAGGTCTTGGTATGTATTCCTAGCTGTTCTGGCACTATTGCTGTTAAGACAGCCATCCTCCTGTCTTAACTCTCCACGGCTGGGGTTACAGGTGTCTGCCCCAATGCCTGGTGCTAATCATCCAACTTCTGACTATCGTTTTAGATTCATCTCTCTGCCCTTAAAAATTTGTTTCATTTGCCCTTGAATGTAGCATGCTTTCTAGCTCTTCTGTGGCTTTAAGCTCCTGCCTGAGATGGGTTTCCACTCTCCTGAGCCTTTTAAGCTCTGATTCATTCAACAGAAGTGCCTTACATTACCTTTTGGGGGGGGCGTCTCTACGCCCCCAAGTCCAGGACGGATATCCTCACACGCCCACGGTCTCATCTGTGACAGCGCCTGCCTTCTCCTTGCCTTTGCAGGAACTCGCGTTTGCTATCCCATGCAACTTTGTAGCCTAGCACCCCTCACAACAAGATGGCTCAGAATATCATAAGGGAAAATCACCCAGGTGTTCTCAAAGCAGTTCTCAGGAGAAGCACTGTTGATTGATCAACTTGCCTACTTTCTCAAATCTTACCTTAACCGTGAGGGCATCTTATTGAAAAGCAAAATGGCGCCTCCTTCCCTTGCCCTTCCGTCTCAACCTAAGATAGTTGCTCCCGTTCTGAGCCCTAGTTGGGACTTCCCTAAATGGGATGGACAGGCTTCCATCTATCAGTTAAAATTGAACCTTGCTCTTGGAAGAAGGCTAGCCGGCAGTTGAACTTTGACCCCTTCTATTCCTTTGGCCCATTTTCTTTTGTCTGGTAAGTGAAGCAGAATCTCCCGGGAGCTCGATGCATGAACCTGGGTGAGTTGCTTCTTCACCCTGAGCTCCATTCTCTTTCTCTGTGTATCATGATGAAGAGACGGGTGAGAGTTTTTGTCAGCATGGCTGTGCCAATTACGTGAGAGGGAACGAAGAAACAGCACTGGCCCTGGCACATCGGACGACTGCTCGCAAGACAGAGCTGTTCACAGGGAAAGCATCTGTAACTAGGAATTGCTGATAGTATAAACGATATTGGTTTCCAGACTTGAGTATGATGGTGACTGACTTACTGAACTAATGAGTATGTCTCAGGTCTCTTTGGTTAACCTTTGTCAGCATTTGATGGCTCACCAGCCAAAGCAAAGATGGCAGCGTTTATAGACAATGAAGACACATGAAAAGCCTGCTGTGACTTGCTGGACCACTCTACATTCAAGTGGTCTCTAGGTCTGAGGTTTCTTTATCCTGGGACAGAGGTTATAAAACTTCATAGTCTTTACCAAGAAACCCTTTCATTTAAATTGAACGCAAAAGACTAGCATGTAAATCAGATAAAAATAGAGCTGCCCCAGGGAAGCCAAAAGTTGGACTGTGAGGTGGGGTGGCAGAAGCTCCCTCCCTGAGTGGTACTATCTCTTGTAAGTTGACTCTCTCATTTTTCTCTGTGAGAAACACCTTCAAGGATCCTCAGACTGTGGGGAGACAATTTGGAAACACTGACCCAAGAGTTAAGTCAAGAATGGTTTGAAACCCAAGGAGGATTAATTAGTAATTTCACATGTCCAGTGTTCCGCTTAAAGACCTTGTTTTGAGTCCTAAGCTCCTAGCATTGCATAGCTCATAAATTGCCTAAGTTCTTCTTCTACCATAGGTTATAGGGCTTTAAAATCCTTGGAATCCCAATATCCTTGCTTTTAAGGTATTATATAGCATAGAATTACAAATCCTTAAATCCTCATGGGCTTAAAGACCCTAAATCCTGTGGAATAGTAATTCTCAACTCCGAGGGAGCACTTCTCCCTCGTCCCCCTCCCCCTCCCTCCTCACATGCCATTTTCTAGACTGACATTTTGTCTTATGTTCCTCCCAGGCTCGTGTCCTGAAATGGCTTCCAATCCTTCTCCCCCTGCACAGTTGCCTAGTGACTAGAATTTTTCTCTTCTAACTAGGCAGAGCCAGTGATCCCGACTTTCTAGCAACTCTATGCCACCTCCTTGATCCCGGGGAAAATGTCCACATAATCCCAGAGGACCTCTAGTGCCTTCTGATTGTCCCACCCACCCTTAGTGCTCCATCCACCATCACCCCAGCATGGATTGTCTCCTACTGGGTAACGACATTTGGGGAAGGTGAGGCTGTATTTGAGTTGGGCCTTGAAATATGGACAACGGTTCAACAAATGCCAGGGCCCAGAGAGATCAAAACAATGAAGGATGCCGTGTATAAAAACAAAGTGAATGGTGAGATGTAAGAAAAGACAGGTGGAGGCCAGGCAGTGGTGGCGCACGCCTTTAATCCCAGCACTCAGGAGGCAGAGGCAGGCGGATCTCTGTGAGTTCGAGACCAGCCTGGTCTACAGAGCTAGTTCCAGGACAGGCTCCAAAGCTACAGAGAAACCCTGTCTTGAAAAACAAAACAAAACAAAACAAAATACAGGTGGAGAACAGCTGGGAGGAGTTGTTGGGAGAGGGGAATTAATATTATAAAATATATAATATGAAAAAGAAGTTAATAATAAAAAATTTAATATGTATGGATTTTTACATACTTTTATATCAATGCACCATGAGGCTGCAGTAACTGTGGAGGGCCTGAAGAGAGCATCAGATCCCCTGGAGCTGGAGTTACCGACAAGTTGTGAGTCACCCTGTGTGCACAGACTCCAACTCCAATCAGTTGGAAGAGCAGCCAGTGCTCTCAACCACTGAGCCATCTCTCCGGTCTCAAGGCCCAAATTTTTACTACCAGAGACTGAGGAGAAAAGGTGACAAACTGTTCACTCTAACCACAGAGGTCCAGTTGAGAGTCTGGGAGTGACAGAAAAGGCAACTCTTTTGCACCCCAAAGGGCTCAGGTGCAAAAATGACTGGGAGGCGTGGCAGAACCACAGATAGTTCTTGAAGCGTTGCTAAACAGTAGGCTTGGAGATTTGACATGAAACTTTCATATATCCCTGAGGGATGGATAGTTAGGGAAGCTGAGGCTTAGCATAGTTTTAGAAGAACCAATAACCTAGGCACTTGTAAATGCCAAGGTCTTCATGTGAATCTCCTCGTTTAACCCTTCCAACATCCCTTAGTATAATAGCCACAGTCCTTATTTTATTTTATTTTATTTTATTTGGTTTTTTTGAGACAGGGTTTCTCGGTGTAACAGCCCTAGCTGTCCTGGAACTAGCTCTTGGAGACCAGGTTGGCCTCGAACTCACAGAGATCCTCCTGCCTATGACTCCTGAGTGCTGGGATTAAAGGTATACATCACCACCACCTGACCCATCCTTATTTTATTAACGAGGAAGTGGAGGTTCAGGGATAATATGGCGCCTACTCACAGTTACACATATACTGAGTGGCTAAGCAGAAATTTGAGAAACGACAGCATTGGCCCACGGTTACAGTGATGGGAAGTGGTAGTAGAATTGAGGCTCCTCAGGTCTGAAGCTTTCTATATCTAGAAGGAGAAGATGAACAGGAGTTGGCAAAGGTTTAGTTCTGTGTGAGGGCCAAGAAGAAAAGGTTTAGGTGCTGCCCGGAGGGAAGTGAGTCAGAGGGTGTGAAGAACTCTGGGCCAGATGCCAGAAAAAAAAAAAAAAAACTGAAGGCCACTGAAAGGAGTCACAGAAGGAGTAGGGACTTTGGGGGTCTGGTGCTGGGTGGAGAAAAGCAAGCGTTCACAATTCTAGCTATAAGGCACAGTGCTACCGGGGTGGCGTACTGATGAGAGATGCTATGCTGATTGGGAATGGGCCAGGCCTTAGCTGCCCAGACGATGCTCCCGCTGGGTTGGGAAGCTATGCACAACTACCGGCTGCTGAGTGCTCCCTAGACGATAAGTGTGGTGTTTTTCATCCTTCTTACTCTGCTCAGGAAGCGCCTTTCCCGGTAGAGTGTGCGAGATCGTCCTCATACACACATGCTTTTGACTCACAGAAGTGGAGTGGCCTGAGCAACAGTCACGCAATGGGACAGCTGGAGACCTGCGACAGTGCAACTATAGAGTCACGACTTGTGACTGCAGGGTCCTCCCTCTACTCCCCAGAGAAGCCCCAAGAGCCTTGCAGGCAAGCTACCTCCCACAGACTACAGGAAAAAGTGTGTAAACTGTCACCTATACCTGTCATTGGTGACACCCGAAGCCCGAGGAGGAGTGCAGATTTTAAAAGACAGAGAGACAACCCTAGAACAAACTAGAATCACAAGACAGAAAGAGCCCTGAGCTCCCTCTTCAACTGGTGTTCATTACCAGAAAGAGACACAGCGCCCTCTCGTGGCTGAGTCCTAAACCTA